AAACGACTGTAAAATGCAGCGATGTGGCAGAGATGCTGCAAATAGCCGTAAAAATGGCCCATCTGCCAAGCACCCAAAATGCAGCCGTGGTCATGTGATGCAGGGGGGACGGCCTGAACTTCGAATCCAGGTTGTAAGTATCCCCAGGGAGATCCGTTGTAATTTTGACCACTGCTAAGTGACTGGTTGTAAGGCGAGGACTACCTGCAATGTATTCCTTTCAATGAAAAACAGCAGCCTAAGAACAGTTGTAGATGACTCTTTCTCCAAAGCCAGGAAGTTTTCTAGCTGTGCTCTGTTGAAGTTTATGAGATGCAGCTATGGCCAGCCTTACTGGACAGGTGCTATGGCAGTCAGGGAACTCGTCAGCTCAATCTTCCCCCATTACTTGCCATACTACTACAAGTAGTAAATAACACTATTATTATTTTCTAAATGGTCCCCAAACTATTACAAACAACTTTTCAGGGGATCCTAGGAACTAAAGTAGAATTAGAAAAACTAGCAACAAATGCAGTGTCTAGCATACATTCAAAAGTTTTATCGTGGGATGCAACAGTTCTGATGAGGCAACTCTCACAAAATAACCCTTGTATGTCGAGAGTTATTCTGCAGACACCCACAGCAACAGCCTCCGTTTGCCAACATAAAGAAATAACTGATTATCATTTGGTGCATTTTTGATAGGGGGGGGGAAGAAACTCTGCTGATGCATCATCAAATGAACTTGAGAAATAGAACACTGTTAGAAAGAGGAGGGGGGGGGGGGAAATCGCTCAGGCAGACAAAATCTTCTAAAAAGTTCCCTCGTGCAATTGTCCCCTTACTTTTTGTTTGACAAATCACCTAAAGAAAATTAATAACCTTCCAAATAAGTGTTCGACTGGTTTCAGACAAGTCACTGGGAGTCCAACTTGCACAATTATTTCTATGCAACGTCCAACCAGCACCTAAGGAAATTGCAGTGAAAAATGCTAAAAGCAAACACGAAAGCATCTTAATTGCATGTAGTCCCAAAAGCTTTCTTCAAGACAACGCCCTCCCAAGCGGAAGGCTGCCTAGTCAGAGGACAGCAAATTCTGCCCTTTTACTAACCCAGGACTAAACTCTGCATCCAGGGGAAAGTTGGGCTGGGTTTATTTATGTATTTTTTTTTTAGCTTTAAGACTATCCCCTTGGATGGCAAGGGGGGGGGAGAGATTGTATGTAAACACAAAGAGTCCTCGATTTATGACCACAATTGAGCCCAAAATTTGTGTTGCTCAGCAAGACAATTGTTACGTGAGTTTTGTCATATTTTATGACCTTTTTTTTGCTTAGCTGTTAAGTGAATCACTGCAGCTGTTAAGTTAGCAACAAAGCTGTTAAGATCTGGCTTCCCCATTGATTTTGCTTTTCAGAAGGTTACAAAAGGTGATCCCATGACCTGGGAGATTGCAACAAATCGTAAATAGGTGCCAATTGCCAGGGGTCTGAATTTTGATCACGTGATCAGGGGGATGCTGCAACAGTTATGTGTTGGGTGAAAATTGGTTAGAAGTCACTTTTTTCAGGGCCATTTTAACTTCAGTCACTAAATGAATGGTTTTAAATTGAGGACTACCTATAGCAGGGGTAGGCAACCTTGGCTCTTTTATGACTCGTGGACTTCAACTCCCAGAATTCCTGAGCCAGCATGGGGGAACTATGGCTCCCTCATGACTTGTGGACTTCAACTCCCAGAATTCCTGAGCCAGCATGGCTCAGCTTGGAAACCTCGCCCTTTCCCCTCAGCATGGCTGGCTCAGGAATTCTGGGAGTTGAAGTCCATGAGTCATAAAAGAGCCAAGGCTGCCGACCCCTGACCTATAGGGTCCTCAGTATCTTACAAAAATATTACCCCAATACAAGAGAAAGGAAGCATGTCTATCAAATCATCCAGATGCCACTCATCTGAATAGTAATGCTTTTGTTCTTTCAGCAGTTGCTTGCAATCACAGACACTGCCCATGTCAAATTGGTTTCTTGGGGATTAAGCTAGAACAAAATCCGTTTTTCTCTGACGGAGAGAATCCTTTGTGCTTCTCTTCATATCCTGTGTTTTTCAGAGGAACAATACTACTGCTGACTACATAAAAGTAATACCATAATCCTCTTTAGAAAATTACTGTAAGGTTATACTTTGTGCAGCTAATGAAAGTCACGTATGCATTTGAGATAAAATATATAATACTTATCATACTACTATGAATATGAAACTGTGCCCCGCCGATAACTACAGAATATGAAAAAAAAAATGCTGCAGCATTTAAATATTTAAAAGATAAACATTCAAAGAAAACTAAGTCAACCTGATATTCAACTCAGTAAAATTGAAATTGTTTGCTAAAAATGATTTACAAATCAGCATGTAGTACTCGTAAATTAGTCCTTTAGAGCAGTGTTTCTCAACCTTGACAATTTTAAGGCATGTGGACTTCAACTCCCAGAATTCCACAGCCAGCAATGCTGGCTGTGGAATTCTGGGAGTTGAAGTCCACATGCCTTAAAATTGTCAAGGTTGAGAAACACTGCTTTAGAGGACTCCACCCTTAAATTCTTCAAAGTGAATGGGACTGAAGTGGCTTGACCTATTTTTGTTTGAAAGTTCAACATATAGAGCCAAGTTTGTAATTCTGCTTTGGCATAAGTTCCCTTCACAAACCTATCTTTATTTCCAATGTGTTGCTCACAATCTTTGCTTGGCTAAAAACAAATTGTCAGCTTTTTGCTATATAGCCACAAAGCCTTGCTATATGAATAATGTAATCACAGTAAAAATTGAGAATTGGAGAATAATGCAATACTATCTTTGATTTTTCCCCCATGGGCATGTTTCAACAATAGCAGTTAACTTTCTTAACTTATACAGAAATGGATTACTTTTGAGCTTCCAATAACCTTCAATATTCATCTGTCAATAGTTAACATAAACAGCTAAGAATCCTTCTGAAAGCACTTCAAAATACCAGACATGAAATCAATAGAACGTTGTTAAAGTCTTAAGTGCTCTTGCTAGCTCTAAACACCTGTCAAATCAATAGAGATAATAAACATTATTATCTAACAATTTTCTAACTTTATCATTTATCATATACAGGATGATACCCATGTAGTTCCTAATGACTGACCTTCTATGAGTCAGTGAAAGACGCGTGAGCAGAGTGACTATTTGCTCCCCATCCAGACTGATTTTTGGAGCCTTCCAACTTTGCAACGTTAGGACTGCAGATAGGCAGGGAGGAAATAAATGAAAAATCACCCTTTATCTACCGTATTTTGACAGATTCCTTCAGTGGAATAACCGTAACCAGGTATCTTTGCTAGTACCAAGGAATTAACTACAGTAGCTTTCTGTAAGTTCTTCCCAAGAAACAAATCTGCATTAATTATATTATACTGAAATCTAACTACGTCGGAAATGAATACAGACCTTATGAGACCTTATGGAAGATTTACATTCAATTACATGAAGGCTTCTCTTAGCCTGGTCATCCTAGCTAGAGCTGATGGGAATTGTAGTTCCCTGGGGAGTTCTGAATTGGAAGAAATCTGCTACAAGGAATTTCTTTTCTACCATAAAGGTCACCTTTCTCAGTGTTATCTTACACAAGGAAAAATATTGATGTGCCTGGCTGAGCAAGCCCTATCATGGCAACAAGATCTTTTGGTTTATAGTGCAAAATATTAAGCAGATGCAGAGGGCAAACATCTGACCACTTGCTAATAATACTTTGGTGCCAATTAATTTAGGATCCTCATCACTGTGATGAGTACGGTAGTTTTCGCAGATAACACTGGGCTGTGAGAAAATGTTAAAGCTGAAACCAATGTAATTTCAACCTGTGCTTCTTCCAATAACAGCCCTAACAGCATGGAAGGAAGGAAGGAAGGAAGGAAGGAAGGAAGGAAGGAAGGAAGGAAGGAAGGAAAAGACACAAAAGACAGATGTAAACAAAGCATAGTAGCCATTTTACTTCATTAAAAACTACTCTATCAGAGCTGCACACTAGCATATGGATGAAGGTGTGCCTCTACTCTAGGGATTGGAGAGATGAGCATCAACTCCTTTGGTCTACATTAACCAGCAACAAAGGGAAAAAGACAGTAACATAATGCCCTCTTCAGTACATAGCGCCATACAAAGAGATAATGTATGTGCTTTTGTTAACTAGAAACTGCCCTGCAGCTATACTACTGCATGCATCATACTCACTATGAAGCTCCACCCATTCATGCCTCCCCATTGACTAATTTAAGGGGGGGGGGGAAACTAAACATTGATGGGGGTTCTGCTTAAACTGGCAAGGAGGGCACATGTGATCTGTAAGATCAAAATTTCTAATGGAGGAAGGTTTGCAGAATTCCCAAAATATCTCATGTGTTTACAGAAAAGCTTCCACACTTAAAGGAAATGGTACCACGGTGGGTGAGCTGCAGGATTAAGAAAGAAGAGAAGGTGAACTACAGGTTCTCTTCAAACCATAGGCTCAAGATTAACTGAAATCCAATGAGCACAATTAAATGCATAGCATTTTACCATAGTCAATGCTTCCACAGACTCTGTGGACTCTTCTGTTAATCCGTATTTGTAAAAGCTTTCTATAAAGGAAAAAAGTGTATAGAAACACAATGTAAAACTGTAATCAAGGTTATATATTCAAAAGAAGCTTAATTCTTGTAATTGCCTTTTTTGGAATAAGCATCACCCATAACATATTACATACACTTCTTAGAGCTTCCCACTGACTCTACCTCACTCAGGTTTTGACTAAATCATTTTAAACCAACCCAGCGTATGCTTGCTGAACAGCTGGAAAGTTTGGAAGTTCATATTAAAAATGTTCCTCCAACAGTTTTTAATGTGGAAAAAAATGCTTAGCAAAGCAAAGCAGAGCAGTAATAGTTGCATCAAACACTGAGATGTTGGCTTATTACTTTACAAGTCAATTTAAAACTGTGGTTTAAGCCTTGGTTTTCAACTACAATTCCTTCAGAGAGTTGATCCGTGCACAGATTTTTAGTGCAGGTCCTAGCTTAATATTCATGGCACTCATGAGATGATCCTCTTTTAATAAGAGAAGAGCCTGCCCATCAATCTCTTGGGTTCGAAATTCATCAGCAATATCTTGACAACCTGCAACAAATAACAAACATTACCAAGAAAGGAAGTCATGGCTGCCTTGAAATTAGGGATTTTCCAGCTTGGTTCAGTAACTTTTTGGTACATAAAAAGGATCATTTTTATCCGAATCCAATCTGAATTTAGTAATTGTGCTGAACTTACTCTGAGTTCATGTTTGAATTTTATGGAACACATTGCATTTAATTCTTAGGGCTTTCCATCCTTTTATGAACTATATAAGAACTGTGGTGGTGCACTGGTTAGAGTGCGGTATTGCAGGCTAATTCTGCTGATGGCAGACTGCAAGCAGTTTGGTAGTTCGAGTCTCACTGGCTCAAGGTTGACTCAGTCTTCCATCCTTCTGAGGTCAGTAAAATGAGGACCCAGGTTGTTGGGGGCAACATGCTGACTTTGTAAATCGCTTAGACAGGGCTGTAAAGCACTGTGAAGTGATATATAAGTCTAAAGGCTATTCCTATTGCTCTACTTCTATTTCTATCAGTGTACAACTAGCTTCTATTTTGATGCCCTCCAGATTTATTAGGACTGCAATTCCTAGAGTGTCCAGTGAATTGCAATGCCAATACATCTGTGGAAGGCCAGAGCTGGGGAAAGCTGTCCTAGAATCATCCAAGTGTGGCTTTAGATATACTGATGATGTATACAATATTATTAAATGTATAATTCAAAGAAAGGCTGAAATAGGCAACTACTGTAGGTGCAACAATATACTGTTCATCACATCATTTCCTGCTGATTATCAAACTCTGCAGATCTACCTAGTATTCACTCAAAAAAAAAAAAGAGACCAGAACCTTGTGTGCTGCAAAGAAAAGCACTAACCTCAAGAACATTTATTTATATATATATTTTTCCACTATACTTTTTCTTTTCCTTCTTATATTCTTCTTAGCTTGCATTAGTTTTTCACCTTTGTGTTTCTAAGCTTTAGTAAAAAGTTTGTTATTATAAATTATTATATAAAAACAAACAACCTACAATAATGTGCAACCCCATGGGGCTTCACATGGACCACGGACTCGTTCTTTTAAAATAGCCTTACTGTATGGCAGATGAGTTATGACAGAATGCAGAAGGTACACACAGTCTGCCATCCTGTTATGTCACCTGTCACACATGCAAATTATTCTTGTTGAATCTGAGAAAAGAACCAGAAAAAGAGTTTTCATACATAAGCGAGTCTTGTCAAAATATTCTGAAAATAAATTCTAGATCTATCACATGCAATATGCCGTACATCTGACATTCTCCCAATCTTTTCACAACAAAGTACGGACCTCATATACAGGTAGTCCTCAACTTACAACAGTTCTTTTAGTGACCGTTCAAAGTTACAACGGCACTGAAAAAAGTAACTTATGACTGTTTTTCACGCTTACGACCCTTGCAGCATCCCCTTGGTCATGTGATCAAAATTCAGATGCTTGGCAACTGGCTCATATTTATGACGGTCGCAGTGTCCCGGGGCCATGTGATCACCTGTTGTGACCCTCTGACAAGCAAAGTCAATGGGGAAGCCGGATTCATTTAACGACCGTGTTACTAACTTTACAACTGCAGTGATTCACTTAACAACTGTGGCATGAAAAGTCATAAAGTCATAAAATGGGACGTTTCACCTAGCCACACACGTTTTGGGCTCAACTGCGACCGTAAGTCGAGGACTACCTGTACTCCCCTCCCAGCAAGCCTGCCCTCTATCGTTCTTAGCAAGTTGACCCAGATTTCAGTTGCGTACCGGGTAAAGAATGAATGAAGGCCCAGACATCTTCAACGGTCCACCCTGATGGGACCGACTGCATGGCTGGCAACAAATCCATGTTGTCGGCTGTTTTCCGAATTCTCAGTTCCCTAAGCTCACGCTCCCTTTCTCTCTCACTTTGCCTCCGCAGGCGAGTGGTCATGGCAACCGGCACGTTGTCTTCCTGAGAGGCCACGTCTTCTTCTGCAGATGGATAAGTAATTGGTAGCTGGAAAATGTAGTACAGACAAACCAGAGTATAACCATTTTCCTTTGTGACTCTTGTAAAAGGACACCGTGGAGTTCAATTAGCATTCTACAGACCTGTCTAAGGAAGTGTTCCCTTGGAGCTCCATCAGAGCCACTTGGCCGCCTCCCTCGCGGCCCAAGACCTGGGTTATCTGGACTACGGCTGCTCCAACGGCTGCTCTTGTCTGAGGCGTACAAGCGAAATTTCTTACCGCAACTCACATTATACCTAGATGCAAATGGTGAAAGGTATGCAAGCATTATTACGTACGCTCACGCTTCTACAATGGACACTATCAAAATGGGGTTAGAAGAGATGGCCTAGTGCAGGGGTAGTCAACCTTGGCTCTTTTATGACTCGTGGACTTCAACTCCCAGAATTCCTGAGCCAGCCATGCTGAGGGGAAAGGGAGAGGTTTCCAAGCTGAGCCATGCTGGCTCAGGAATTCTGGGAGTTGAAGTCCACGAGTCATAAAAGAGCCAAGGTTGACTACCCCTGGCCCTAGTGCTTTAGCCTCATCACAGAAAGATGTTAAGATTCAGAGTCAACTCGTAGTTCAAATAAATAAATATATAATGTTCGTTTCAATACTTTGGATGAAACACATACCAACCATTCATAAGCTGGAAGAAATTGACTCATTAACTATTGTGGCTTTAACTGATGTAGTCACTTCATTACAAAATATATTCACAATTTTTTTTAAAAAGTAAAGATTTGAACTGAAACGTTTATATTAAGTGCTGTGTGTGTGTGTGCGTGTGGGTGTGCATTTCTTTTATAGCTTGCCCAAAGAGTCACTGTGGCTAATACAGTGGTTTTTATTTTATTTTATTCCTGCAATATCCACCCGTGAGATAGATTGGGGTGAGAGAGCGCGATTGATTCAAAAACCTGGCTGAGGACAGGCTAGAAGATGTATTTCTCCACACTACTACAATACTACTACAGTTTAAAATGAGCTTTGTTTTTTTTTTCCTTTAATATTGCTGAGGTTGAACAACCTGCCTCCTTTTTTGTTCTAATTGCTTTTGACTTATAAAGAATCATTTTTCCAATGTATTGAACTTGAGCTCCATTTTCAAAATATTATTTTTCTCTAATGTTGTTTATTGTGTTACAAGTTTCTGATTAAATACAATTGACTAAACAGCTTACAAATCTGAAGGCACAGAAGAAATCTGGAAAAAGAAAAAAAAATCTAATGTCTGCTAATTCACCTTAGTAAAATATTGGAGGCAGAAATGAGAGAGGTGTGTGTGTGTGTATGTGTGTATGTGTGTGTGTGTGTGTGTGTGTGTGTGTGTGTGTGAGAGAGAGAGGGAGAGAGAGAGAGAGAGAGAGAGAGAGAGAGAGAATGTTACAAGCACAGGTATTAATCTGTTCCAGGGTATAAATAATATTTCTGACTTCCAAGCTTGTCTTAAAATATATATACCCAATCATTTAATACCATATCCTTATGGATGGAACCAGCAGATCCTTTACTCAGGATCATCATAGTAAGCACCTATGTTTGGGACTCATCTGACTTAGTACATAAGAATTTGATTCGAAATCCTGTGCTCTACTCATGGTTTTTACAATATCTAGAAAGATAACTAATGAAGAATACCTCTTAGCACAGGACATGGTGCAGAACCGTTTTGACCTCAGGAATTTGTTCGCGTACCCCATTTTCCCACAAAATTCACACTTGAGGAGATCTGTTTCCATCTCATCTAGTCCCTCTAAAGGAAATAGCAGAATAAATGCAGTTAGTTTGAACCATCCCATTGCAACAAATGTGTTTGAAACTCTCATGTCATGGGGAATTGTATGCCAAAATGATCTGGCATCTGGCAGCTGTTGGTCATGAGGAAGGCCTTTCCTCATGAGTGTACCTTCAGTGATTTAAAAACAAGTTTTTTTTAAACAAAGAAAAAATGAAGTAAATCAAGAACATAGCATCAGTTCTGTCAGATTAAGATCAAATAAAAAGCTATCCATTGTGGACTGCCTCACCCTAGGAACCTCAGCACAATTGTGTAATATAGTCACAAATAAAAAAAAATAAAGATTTGATTGAAAATATTTTTGTGCAATCGAAGTAAATGACCAGCGCTCCTAGTTCCATCTTCTTAAAATGTCAGTGGCTCAACATCAGAAATACAGATGTTACTAAGTACTTAATGATTAGTTAATGACAGATATTACTTAATGATACACTAACAACTGTTGGAACTTGCAATACCACTGAATATGTGGTACTGACAACTACTTCTCTAAATTCCAGCTGTTGCAGCAATCTTATGATCATAGGATCATGATTTGTGACCTTCCCTTCCAGCTTCCCACAAGTAAAATCAATGGAGAAGAGTCAGAAGTTATGATCACGTGACATCCTTAATTCAACATCCTGTGCAGTCCTCATTTAAAGATGGCAACCAATGACAACTGACATCCTTCAGCAAGGACTACCTGTAATTTCCTATTTGGTAACCAAATTCTTTTAATCTGAAGTTCAGAGTTTTTAATGCCAAGACCATCCATGTTATTCAATTTTACTCTCTAGTGTCTAGTATACAAAAACAGGCACTTTGTGTTGTTCCATGCATTTTAGTTTGAAATTGTACGTCTTCTGATCCTGTAAAAACATATATAATTTAGCAAATAAAAGAGTTCCTACATACCCAGGTTTACAAATTTCAGCATTCAGAACTACCGTTCTGTATACAAGGCTCATTAAAATTAAAAATAAGATTGATAACATGGCTTGTCCTCCAAATTAATAAATTTAGGACTAATGAGACATGATATTTTCCAGGTAAATTCATATTTTTTATAAAAAACCCCACAAGAAGTACTCTAATAATTTCCATCACTTAAACTACTCAGTCATATGTCAAACCTCTGACTTTTATAGAGTGAGGGAAAAAAAACCCTCCAATATGTAGTAATAACACGGTGGTGCCAAATTTAACTATATTATATCCCACAATCAAGTTTAAAATTGAAAATATTCGAAACCTTTAACTCACAGAATTACAGGTAGTCCTCAACTTACAACAGTTCATTTAGTGATCGTTTGAAATTACAACAGCATTGAAAAAAGTGACATGACCGTTTTTCATACACATGACCATTGCAGCATCCCATTGGTCACATGATCAAAATTTAGATGCTTGGCAACTGACTCATATTTATGACGGTTGCACTGTCCCGGGTTCATGTGATCCCCTTTTGCGACCTGACAAGCAAAGTCAATGGGGAAGCCGTGTTGTTAACTAAAGAACAGTAGTGATTCACTTAACAACTATGGCAAGAAAGGCAAAACCCACTTAACAAATGTCTCACTTAACAACAGAAATTAGGGGCTTAATTGTGGTTGTTAAGTTGATGACTATCTATATGCCCTGATAGAATGAATATTGCTTGCCCGTGGTGGTAATAATAATAATAATGTACATTTTAACCTATAAACGTTTGGGTTTTCCACCTTATTCTGTTCAATGCAAGTTGCCAACCACTGTATTTGAATAGATTCTGTTAATATTCAATAAACTCTGGATGAGCTGAAGCATTCACCAGATTACCACCAGCAGGAATTTAACGATGGATTCAAGACACCCATTCATGCAGCCAATGCAACTTTTATTCCCATTTAGTTACAACAGCGCTTCTGATGAAGATGGGGATATACATCTTCTTCCAGAGCCCTTTAAGTTCAGCTAACATGAAAACCTAAAGGCAGGTATAGAATGTCCCATTGCAGTTTCAGCATTGACACCTTAAAGATAGTTTTGATTTGTAATCTCCTTGCAACAAACTCTCTTAAGAATCTGGTATCTCAAAAGTGGGAAGGCAACTCAGGATGATATTTAAAGTGCCTGAGAAAATAGAGGAATAAATATTCATACAGATTAAATGAAATACAAAAACCTTCAGTAATTATGTCCTCCAGCTCAGTGTCCGAGGAATTCTCTGCAAGTTTTGCATTGTTCTGAAGCTCTGGTTCGACACACATAATATTCACAACTTGCTCCTCCAACAAGAGTCTCTTTTTTGCAGGCTCGTCAGTCAGAAGAGATGAGCAACTTACCTGTTAAGAGAGAAAGATGGAATCATTAAACCCCCCCCCAAAAAAGTATGGTTTCTCATATCAAGTGTTTGAAGATTTCAGGGCTTTGCTAATCTTATAGCCTAGATACTGCTACAAGGACATACAGAGCCATATATTAGATGCTTCCATCAATTTCAAAGACAGGCACTAATGTAGCCATTTGGGGTCCAGAGGCTATGGGTGAACCAACATATGGAAGAAAATGTGAAATGAAATATGGAGATATGAAGAGGAAAAAATAAAATTTGCACTTGTGGCTTTGTAATGAGATACCACAGAAAAAAAATAAAAATGTTATTCTGAGCTACTGTTCTATTCCTTTCATAGGAAATGGATTATATTCTGCCATCCCTTTCCATCCCTGACATAAACAGGAAAAACAGACTGAGAAATACCACTTTTTTCGTTATGAAAGAGAGTAACAAACTTTAGGATGAAAGGCCGTAAGTTGAAAACACACATATTTATATTTACAGTGTGTGTGTGTGTGTGTATTTCGTATTTTCTATTTGCCTTTGGATGAGCAGCTCTTATGTGCAATTTTGTAAGCTGCGCTGAATGCTTACAGTACATTTACATTTAATAATACATTTAATAATAAAGGAGTACAAATAATTGCATTTATGAAACAGAATAGTACTGAGCCTTAGTTATACCCTGTCTTCAACAAAAAGGCAGAAGAGTCCATGCTTCCTGCCCAATGGAAAATGTCACCCTACTTCTACCCTGGTGGTTTATCTTCTTTGAGAAGCCACCTACCCCTAGGAAAGAACTGGCTTTCACTCAAAGGCAGTGGAAAGAACAAACAAAAATCAACATGAGGAACAACACTTCTCAAACACGTGCTGAATATTCCTCAGCTATGGATCTTGTCTCTCTTGAACCCCTGCCCTCAGCCTAAGTATTAAAAAAAAATATCTCAAAACAAAAATAACTAAAAACAAATCAGTTTTAAATATATTTTAAATGTAACTTAAAAACAGTAAGAGACACTGTTTTGTTTTTTAAAAAAATCTCCAATCCAAAATTATTGATGGACCAATCCCTGACATTTATGCTGAGGTTATGCATTTTTCTTCCCAGCATCGACATGGTTTAGAGCAGGGGTAGTCAACCTTGGCTCTTTTATGACTCGTGGACTTCAATTCCCAGAATTCCTGAGCCAGCTTAGCTGGCTCAGGAATTCTGGGAGTTGAAGTCCACGAGTCATAAAAGAGCCAAGGTTGACTACCCCTGGTTTAGAGATTGACAGGGAGTAAATACAGTCATTACTAAGAATTATGGTTCCATCAGAATGTTATTTATCAAATATATTTAGCTATGCAGTTCATCAGAAGTGACTTTGATGAGAATGCTGTTGATGTTCGGGAAAGGAGATTCAGTCTTATGGTTACTCTTAATAGACTCAACATGAGCCAAAAGGATGAGGAGTCTTCTCTAAAAAGTTGCATTTTATGATCTCACATATTTTCTTTATTTATGGGCACCCAACCACCCATGTGATTAATTTAACATATGGATGGTGGGTGCTCCGTAAACAAAGAACATTAATTTCTTATTAATTACCCTATTATCCAATTTGGTGGGTAGGAACATTAACTCTTCAGGCAGAGATTATAGGAAGAGTCTATGGTGGCAAATATTCTCGAAGAATCTAGTAGCACCTTTTCCAATCAACAAATTGTATTAAAAGGCATATGTTTTTGTGAGTTGTCTGGTTTTTTTTTCTGGCAGAGCTCAATCTGATTGTAGCCACTAAAGTTCAGAACACTGTTGGGCAGCAAACATAAATTCCATTCACTTCATGAAGACCAGACAATAATTATTAAGAAGACAGTTAATCTAAATTATTCAGAATAACAAGGAATAAAGAAACAGAAGCCCCAAATAACCACAGCACATTGCCTTTTAAAAGGAAAATATCACACGTACAAGGTGCAATGATGTATTTTTACACTTACAGGAAATGGTTCTAAACCCTCTTGGATCACAAAGCCCTCAATAACATGAGTCAGGATTTGTGGTTTAACGATAGCCTGTGGAAGTTTGTTTTCTATACTAGGGTTTCTATTGGACACTGATGCGCTGTTAGTCCTTGTTGCAATTGCTGGGAGCAAAAGAGGTGGCTGTGGAATAGAGGCATGTGAAGGGTCTGATGGTGATTTAATTACAGATGCGCTGACTGATGAAGCCATTGAAGAATGTCCCTCTTGTTCTGGAAAAAAAGTAATGTATGTTTTTTTAAATAACTCATATATATCTTCATAGTTATAGAAAGCATCACTTTTATTCATAACTTGCTACTACGGAAGTCTCTTCCAATATTTATTGCATGAACTGACATGTAAGTTTGGAAAATGAAGTAGATCTGGGGACCATACGAATGCTTCAGAGGACATATAGTTTCCACACATTAATTTATCCTGGAGCAGGAAGCCTGTGGTTCTATTGGGGCTTTGCTGCCCTCGTGAGGCTGATCATATCTCCCGATTCCTCTTAACTTACCTGCTCCAGCAAATTTATTTACCCAATTGCAGCCACCTCTAGATTTCTGGAAGGCTCTACTTCTGCAAGACCCAACAACTAAATTAGATTTCTTTGACCTGCGAGTCCTGATGAATGTAAAGCATTCTCTGTTACAGATTCTAGAGCAGGGGTGTCAAACTCAATTTCATTGAGGGCCGCATCAGCATTGCGTTTGCCCTCGGGGGGCTGGGTGGGTGTGGCCAAGGTGGGTGCAGCCTACTGGGTGGGCGTGGATGGAGTGGGTGTGGCCTACTGTGTGGGCATGGCCAGCTCTACATCGTTTGCGTCAAGGGTGCCTGTGGGGGCCTGGGCAGGAGTGAGACAGATCTGAGGGTCTCTGGCAGAAGGGGGTGGGACCGGGGCAAGCGCCAAGGCATGGTCCATTTCTTCCTTCCTCACAAAGGGTGACACCTCCCCACATGCACCCAGAGGGCGGGGCCAAGGCAGCGGGGGCCATTCCCTCACTGTTTCCAGGATGGCTTTGCGGGCCACATGAAACCACTTTGTGGGCAGCATCTGGCCCCCGGGCTTTGTGTTTGACATGTCTGATCTAGAGTATCCAAGGCTCTGGTTTTGGGCTAAAAGAACTCTATGGTTGTTGGGCTTTGCAAAAGAGGTCTTCAATAAATCAGAAAATCATCAGTGGCTTCCAGATTGACAAGCTAGTAAGGGAGAGCCCTATGTTTAAAGAGCAGGATGGCTTTATCCCCTTCCTTCTAGTAATCTCAGCTGCATCAAGGCTTCCGTTATGAATGTATTCTTGACAATGTCCAGCCTACCACCAAAGCCTTGCATATAGCCCATGTGGATAATAAAGTTTCCCATTACCACTGAGCTACCCTAATGTTCTATTTCTGAAAGTGTTCATCCCTGCTTGCTTTTAAGAAAACGCACAAGGAATAACTCAAGTAGTAATTCCCAGCTGTGCACTCTTATCTACTGCTCTTCTGAGGTTTGCAGAGAGCTTGAGTTTTGGGACTCAAGCAGGGTCTATTAACCTGCACTGCTGTTAGCTTTTCTCCCCCTATAACTTAATTCTTCCTTGTGTTGAATTCTAAAATAACAGTTCTTGACCTTCTTTCCTCTGACATCTCTCTCAATTAAAGTTTAAGTTTAAGTTTATTGCATTTATATCCTGTAGCTCAGGATTGAAATGAGGAGTCCTTGGTGCTTTCTGAGATTGGTTGTTTTCTTGCAGACACTTCATTACCCAAACTAGGTAACATCATCAGTGCTTTTGTCTGAATGTTACTTAGTTTGGGTAATGAAATGTCTGCAAGAAAACAACCAAGCTTGGCACTAAGGACCACTCTGACATCCCTTTAGGTGTATAAAGAGATCCACTGTATCCCCTTTTAGTCTTCTCTTCTCACAGTTGACCGTTTCCAGTCCCTTCTCTCTTCCTCTCTTCCTAGGACTTCATTTCTAGTCCTCTGGTTAGCCTGCCTTTCCCTGAAGCTGTTCTAATTTGTCTGAATCCGGCTTCAATTTTAATGTGATGTAACTGCCCTGTGCAAATAAATGCAATAATGGAAGATTACTTAGCTAACCAAATGAATCAGTGGGCTAAAATGGAGGTTGAAATGCAATGTTTGTCGTGGGAACTTAGCACGCAATGAGAAACAATTATAGACACAATATATTTTATATCAATTACCGACACCTAGCTTGCAGATGATCAGAGTTTTGTAGCTCTAGAAAGTTTGGAAGTTTCAGTTTCTTAATGGTTCCCTTTCATCAGGTAGGGAAAAACTCACCTCAGGCAATATATATAATCTCATTATTTTCTCTAATTCCTACAACTCAGCAAGACTCAGTCATCCTACTATCAGTTACTGAGGGCTTTATGTTGTCTTTTCTGTCGGGCTTGCCTCTTACTATTTTCTTCACCTGATAATATGGAGGTTGGGATTTCTTTCCAACTCTGTAGCCCCCATATACTTGTGTACATAATACAACCAGCCCTCTCCTTTGCCTCCAGTATTTTTCAGCTGCAAAAATACAAGTGCCCTATGCTTAGGGCAGTGATGGCGAACCTTTTAGAGACCGAGTGCCCAAACTGCAACCCAAAACCCACTTATTTATTGCAAAGTGCCAGGGTCGCATCAGCATTGTGGTTCCCTCAGGGAGGGCGGGGTGTGTGGCCCACTGGGTGGGCGTGGTCAGGGTGGTCACAGCAGATTGGGTGGGTGTGGCCAGGTAGGCGTGGCTACCTCGATACTCTAACATCTCTACTCGAGCTTGCTAGCCGGCCATTTTGCCTGCTTTGTGCTGGGTGGGGCTGCTGCTTTGGGCGGCGGCAGCCTAATGGACCTGCGCGAGCTGCTAGTGGCTGCAGTGTGCGTGCCCACAGAGAAGGCTCTACGTGCCACCTCTGGCACGCATGCCATAGGTTCGCCACCACTGGCCTAGGGTGTCAAGATCAAGACAGATCAGTTGATGACATTCCCCCTCTTCTTTCTGCCTTGCACCAGGGTGACTTTATGTTCTTAAGACCAGGCAATCTAATCTATGAGGCTCCACATTCTTGCTTTCAATTTACAACAACAAAGCAACAAGCCTGACTTTCAAAGTGCCTTCAGCAATTTGCTAAAGCCAAGAAAGAGTTCAGTTATTCAGGACAACGTGTCAGAGTTGTTCCCTTGATCTTACTGCACAGCTCTTAGCCTTAAAGGTGATACGATGAAACAAGAAATCAGAACCAGAAGCTAGGCTTAGTAACAATACCACACGGTGTCCTTTTTTCACCTGGAAAAGAGTCTTCATAAGTAAGCTCTTCTCTGCTTCTTAAAGTTATAGCTGGTGGTGACAGCGTTGGTGGGGTGGGAGTCCTAACCATACGGGCACCATCTGAGTCCTCAGGCATCTCATCTTCACATATATCTTGCTCCTGATAAAGCTGCATTGAACAAATCAACCTTCTTTAGAGTCAAGCTTTGTGGGTATTTTGTTAATTTTGTTAGCTTTCTAGGAAACTATATGAAAAATTATTAAAATGTAAATGCAACTACTGTCAATTTACTATTAAAAACAATTCTAAAGAAATGTATTTAATTTTTAAAGGCAAAACCTTAAAAACAGATTAGATTTGGCAGGCTGAATCAAATTATTCAATAATCAAATTATTATTTACTAAAGAACAATTTACTAAAGAATAATTTACTAAATTATTATTTACTAAATAATTTACTAAATTATTATTTACTAAAGAGAGAGAGAGAGAGGGAGAGAGAGAGAGAGAGAGAGGGAGAGAGAGAGAGAGAGAGAGAGAGAGAGAGAGAGAGAGAGAGGGAGAGATGGAAGAAATTAATTTAGAAGATATTATTGTTTTAAGCCTGTATTGTCTAAACATGTTTTTTTGGAATAAACAAATTAATCAGAAATCTGACATTGCTTTTTAAAATTGGCCACTTTATGTGGAATTATTCTGAGAAGCTGGTTTAGAAGATGAAGAAGCATATATTGCAAATCTTTTACAACTGTAATTGTGGTTTTGAGATGTTTGTGTTATTGTTGACTTTAAGAAGCACTGAATTAAGCTTGATTTCTGGTGACTGCATAGATAAATGTCTACTATCTTGACCTTTCTGTAGAAATAATTTTAGCTAAGGATAATTCTGCAATTTCTTTGATCCTTTCCATTCACCTTGAACATTATTTTACCCTCATGCTTGCCAAATGCTGTTGCTCATGAATTACTTTGTTTTATTTTGTGGGTTTTAAAAATTTAACTCAGGCGTTGTTGTGTTTTTATTATTCCTGCGTTTTTTATGTGTGAACCATCCACAGAATCCTGGCAACTCGGTGGATAGAAATATAACAGTAAAGAAAAACTATGCATACTGATTATAAACTCCTATTTCTATAAAAAGAAAATACCTAAAACTTATAAAACTACAGTATATTAAATTTAAAATTGGAATTCATCCCTGATAAAAGTCCCTTGACATTTTAGAAAGGAAACAGTAAACAGACAAAATAAATCATTATATCATCAATTACCTCTCAAATAAATAAGTGCTTACTAAGTTTTACTAGAGTTTTGCAAAGCATTAGTAAGGGGGCAATGCCAAGCACACAGGGGCAGGCAAAGCCCCTCTCCTTTAAGCATTAAAATAGCTACTCTCTTCAGAAGGCTCAGCATAGCTGAAACAATTATGATGAGCTTTCTGAAGGATACAGTTGTTTTAACGTTTTGAGGGATGAATTTGCTTCTCCTGTACAAAATGCGCTACCTAGGTCTGCCTTCTACAGTTTTGCACATTCCCTATTATAACAGTGCTTACATTGCTTCAAAGTTCTGGTTTCTCAGCAGGAACCTAATGCCAACAAATACTGTATTTCAGATAGCTTTCACTTGTCCATCTTTCACATACGGTAGTTTTAAAACTAGAAAGGAAGTCATTCACCAGAGGCTTACCACTGGGGTCTCAATAGGTACTGCTTGTTGCACTTGGAGGTTTACTGCAACTGTTTGGGGAGGCGGAAGAGTCTGAAGCGGCAGCTGGACCAAAGCTTCAGCAGCAGGAAGCTCCTCCTCAGAAACTAAGGTGTTTTGTACCAAAACCTGATCTTGGGACAAAAGTTCAGGCTGGACTTGCAAAGACGGAACAGGAGGAAGGGGCATCTGCTGAGGGTGGGCTAGAGTTGAGGACAGCTGTGAAGTTGCAAGTGGAACTGGCGCTGGCTGCAAGGTTGGGTACTGTTGGTGAGATGATGGCGATGATATCTGCTGGCTGGGAGACAGCACGGAAGGGTGATCTGCTGGTCCCACGTGGACTACTGGGGAAGGGGACAACTGGGGAGGAAGAGCGGTGGACTGTGAGGCTGATTCTGTTGAACTGTGGTCAGCTTGCATGGGGTTATGTTCGGACTGGAGTGTGGACGATGTTAGTGGATGGGACTGAATAAGAGTTTGGGGGTGGATAATTATACTTGGGGACTGGCTGGGCGAAGTAGGCGGTAGTGGGGATACCACAACGGATTGTTGTGGGGATGGGGTTGGGGTTGGAGAAAGTGGAGGGGGGTGGGCATGGACAGGGGTACAGTGCTGGGATGGGGCAATGGCGGGTTCTGGAGTCAGAGGATGGCTCTGAAGGGGGGTACAGTGCTGGAACGGAGTGGCTTCGTGGCTGGGAGGCTGCTGGAGTGTGATTGGTTGGACTTGCTGCTGCTGAAAGATGAGCTGATGGTGAGAGAGCTTGGAAGGTGGTGAGTGAAGAGGGGGCTGCTGATGTTTTAACAGGGAATGAGCTTGCATCGGAGAATATGAGGCTACACAATAAAAATGGGAAAATTTACAGTTAATATCTCCTTAAGAGCACAGAAAGCCGTTACAATATGCTTATTTTCAGATAAATACCAATATTTAAGTAGGTAGGTCTACCCATTATATCTCATGATACCTGAATTTGATAAAGCTTTAAGAGAAAGGCATTTGTGATCATATACAACAAAACTTAAAGTTTGTGTAAAGTAATCCCTAAGATGTTTTGATTTGACTGGTTTTTAAAAATAATTTTAGAAACCTTTGACCTAAGCAGTTTTATCAAAGGATTTATACAACTGAAATTCTAGGAAAAACAACACATTCAAAGCAAGAAAAAAAATCTTGTACCTTAAGTGATATATAATAGATGTCTTGCTTTGAACTTTAACAGCAAGAACTAAATAAATTCCACTTTATCTTTATTTTATTAAACAATGAAATAAAGCAATGACTATCACTTTCTGGATCCAATGCAGGGCAAGGAAAATATATGTACAGGGTTATTAATGCTGCTTAATTTCTACATGTAATTCAAGGGTAGTTTTCAAGTAGAGCTTTGAATCTAACATTTGATGCCCACTAATTTCTGAATTTACTGAATTGTGTACTGAAACGCTACATTTCTTCTAATCAGTACAACTAGTTCTGTTAAGTGACAAAACCTTTTCAAATGTTTATACACAGGTGATTCATTTCTTTTCTTTCTTAGCTTTCTTTAATAAATTAAAATATTGTAAATGCTGACTTCCCATATCTAATAATTCAGGTACATCAGATTTCTCCTTTGGAAAAAAAATCTCATCAGTGCTCCTAATATCACAGCTGTCTAGTCATTAACAATAGGAGATATAGGAGAGACAAAGAGACAGCAGAGACTTCAGCTCCCTTAGTCCAAGCGCTTCATATGAAATGAGTTCCCACCAACGAAGAGCCTCCTTTAATTTCATAGAGCTTCAGATTTTGTACCTTAGCCGACACATTATTGGATGCAAACCAATTGACATAATAATGACTACAAATCAAGTGTTTTTGGTACTTGGTGATTGAGGTGGCAACAAATTGACAAATGCATAAACAAAAGTCTTAACTGTAAAGGAACATCCTTAAAATGTAATTGGATTGTCCTACCTGGTGCCATTAACTGATGAATACTTGACGTACGGGTAACAGCTGGACTTCGAGGCTCAGCATTTGGGCTGTCTCCTTTCCTTCTGCTTTCTAGATCTGATTGGCTGGCTTTGGCACTGGTTACAGATTTGCTAGGACACACAGCTAATGTCTGGGGTTGACAAGAGCTCTTGGGTGTTCCATTTTGAGAAGCAGACAATACACCCAGCTTCTGACTCCGCAAAGTCAAATTCTGGACCTAAAAAAAAAAAGCAAATAAATATTTTTAAAGGTATCTTTTCATGTAAATACATGCATTGTCTGTGGCTGTGCCTGCTCTGAGGAACAGTAATTCCTCCCAGAGATTTAGATGGCTTTGATTCTATCAGCTTTTCATAAGGCTTAGGCTAAGAAGTTAGGTGAGTTTTGTTGCGATGTGGCTTTTTTGTTTTCAGGGTTATTGTTTTAATCAGGGCATCATGGGGGACATATTGTTAGATGGGTTTAATCTTTGTACGGTGCCCAGAGTTGCTGTTGTGAGATGGGAAGCTCTATAAATCATTTAAATACACACGCACATACACACCCCTCTGGATTTTTTTTTTCTAATATTGAAAAAAAATTGGGTATTTTCAATATGTGACAGAAAAACAAACCAGGATCAAGTTTCACAATAACAAGTATTTAATGTCAGACACATGCCAAATGTTGAAACTAACAAAAGCATTGTCCTAGTTGAGAAAAAGAATATAGTCTAAATTAAACTGACAAGCCTTGTATTGGCAATGGGGAGTGGATTTCACATAGACAAAGTGTAATGGACAGTTTAAAAAAAAACAAACTTGAAGAACAGGAGAAAGAACTGCAACCAAGACAATGGGCTGGAACAAATCATTTTTCTCAGATTTCAGTCCATTTAGTGCAAGTCTATACTTGTGTTTTGTGGTGTTCTGGAAAGACAAGTGAATATGGAAAAGACAAAAGGAGGAGAAAAAGCAGACCAGGGCTGGCATGCAGAATGTCTTTCCAAAATGCTTACCACTATGTTAAAAATATAGAAAAACAAATCTGTAGAGAAACACGTTTCACACTTCATTTTTCTCAGGTACAGGTAGTCCTCGACGTACGACCACAATTGAAGCCAGAATTTATGTTGCTAAGTGAGAAATTTGTTAAATGAGTTTTGCTCTGTTTTATGACTTTTCTTGCCACGTTTGTTAAGCGAATCACTGCAGTTGTTAAATTAGTAACATGGTTGTTAAGTGAATCTGGCTTCCCCATTGACTTTGCTTGTTAGAAAGGCGCAAAAGATGGTCACATGAACCCGGCACACTGCAGCCGTCATAAAAATGAACCAGCTGTCAAGCATCTGAATGTAAATCATGTGACCATAGGGATGCTGGGACAGCCGCAAGGGTGAAAAATGGTCATTAAGTCACTTTTTTCAGTGTCGTAACTTCAAACGTTCACTAAATGAACTGTTGTAAATTGAGGACTACCTGTAGTTTGGGAACTTCCTGGCTCACTGGAAGAGCTAATAGTAGCAAGAAAGAACAAAAGTTCCCTAATGAACTTCCAATCAGGCAGTTTGAAGTGGTCCATAAACAGTGCAATCTCAGAGAAGGCTTTGTTTTGAGACTGGATAACTTCTAAATCAAAATATTCTGTAATGGAAACTTCCGCATATTCCCCATTTGGTATTTGTCATGTTTTCAAGATTTATTTTTTTTTAAGAAAAATCTCCCAGTTGTTTTCCGCAAGACTTTCTCAATGTTAATAGATCAAGCTGCAGAGGTGACCTAAGCCCTGTCTAATCACTCCATTGGCGCCACCTCTCTCCACATTTATCAAAATCTCCTACATTTATAGCTCTCTCAAAAGATCTTAGTACATTTTCAGTGTTTTCGCTATAATTTGCATGGTATTGAAAATAACTTGTGAAATTTGTCAAAAAAAGAAAAAAGAAATAGATCAACAAATAAACACTTCTAGCACTGAAAATCTTACCTATTTGGGGAATGAAATGCCTGTAAGCAAATAACCAAGGACTCCACAAACTATTTTCTGAATTTTTAAACATGAAACTTATTTTAAGATATGCAGATATGCATTTTGAAGTGACTGTTGCCTTGATGCTGTTGGCTACTGTATATGTTATCAAATGCAGACTTTTGTAGACGTGTTCCTGAAACTAATTTGGTTTAGGTCAAAATCTCATTTATGTAATTGTAATTTATTATTTAAAAACTCCAGACAGCAATGAAATAAACATTAAAAGAAAGAAAAGGGTAATTTAGGGTACAGAGTCTAATCCCCATTCAGAAAAAAGGTAAGATTCTTCCACATTGAGATTACAGCTAGTTTTTTTTAATGATATGGAAATAAATTTGCCAATGCCTTTTCCTGGGACATTGTCTAATCTTATGGCCTTGGGATTTCTGGGTTCTTTCCTATCCAAATATTAAACCGGTCCGACTCTTTATTTTTGAGAGTAGCTACAATTTACTATGTGCTGCAACTTTCTATGGAGCAGTATAATTAAAGTATGCCTGATAGATGATTAATTAGATTTACATGAATATAGTCAGTAGAAGGATAACCATACTTTTTTGGAAGGGGAACAAGTGGTTACCGATGCCAGTGTTGAACTTCTGCTCTTAGGAAGTTTTATTGACTTAAGTTTGCCTTCTTACAATTTAATATTATATGTGTTACACTTTTGTACTATAGAGCAGGTCTTGATTGCCATGTATCTGAAAATGTTGTCCCGCACTAATCTTTTCTTAAAGCTAAATATATCTAGTTCCTTTGCATTTGTTTCTATTAAATTCCTGGCTACTATTTTCAACTTACTGCTCTACTCTATACTGTATCACATTTTTTCTTTCTTCTGGAATATTAGTGATCTCATCCACTTTTGGATCATCTACAAATATGATAAACTATTTTTTCCCACCTCTTTGTCCGAATCATTAATTAAAATAGTGAGGAATACTGGCCCACAATCCAACTACATTGCCTCCATTTGATACTGAATTTCAGTTTGATGAGAAATCATTGATAAAAACTTTTGAGTACCATTTTTCAAATATTATGTCTAAGCCAGTGATTAGACATAATATCCAGACCATATTTAACTGCCGGTAGTTGCTAATTAAATTATAATAAAACTATTATATATTTTATGTCGAAATATATTCTACTCAAAACCTTCCACAATTTGTACCAGATCTAAAAATGAAATGAGTTGAGTTTTTGACAAATTCATGCTGACTTACAAAAATCGCTGCATCATAATTGAAGAAATCCATTGCTGTTTTGAGTACTTTGGACACCTCAACTGACACAAGTTTTAGCTTTTTTATTAATACCATTTTTACAAACCTGAATTACCTGTATATACCCTTCTTTGAAGATTGGTCCCTCTTATTAACTCCTGTAATTGTCTCTTTATTTTCACTCAATCTGTGTAATAATATTGGCTGTTATTCTTATGATTTACTGTGATACTGTCATGTTTTATTATTATACTCTTTATGACTTTTTTTTAAGAACCCCATCCATCTTAGTTTTTTTTCATTCACCTACCAATTATTTCCAGGTATATCATTATATAAAGGCAAGCAAAGATGATATGAAGAAACTGCAAATGCAAATCATACAAAAACAATAAGAGATAAGAAAAATGAAAATTATAATACCATAATGGAAAGTGATTCAAGAATCAGTGGGCAGATTTTTAAAACAAGGAAGGCTTAATGGACAAAGTAAGGTTTCTTTTTTTGTTGTAAGGACAGATGTCAAAGATCCTACATTTGAAGAGATTATGCTTCACTTTTCAAACACATTCAAATCTGCAGTATATCAAGCTTCATGAAATGTAATAAAATATAAATTTTGGAAAAATAAAACAATTTTGGGATCAACGTTTTTTGGGGGTTTTTTGATAGCGTTTTAAACAACGGTTTATTTAAACAATGCTTAAATACTTTTTCTGTAAATCCTATATCCTTAATAAAGATGATTTTATTCCGTTGGTTTCACTCTAGTGCAGGTTAAGCAATGAGAACTGCAAAACAATCTAATGTTAACCATGACCAAGGGATGATTGGCTGATGGATGATATTACTGCTTTATGATGTCACTGCTGTCATAGAAACAATCTGTGCACACAAATGAATATGCTACCAGCCAGCACAAGAGCATGGAAAGCTAAGAGAGGAGGCAACATCTTGAGTGGGGCAGGGGCAGGGTCAACAAAAACTGAAAGAAGAGCGGTCAATGACCCGGGTTTCAATTCTGGTTCCGTTTACATAGTATGGCTCATGAGATTGACTGGCTACACAGTCAATCTGGCCTTTGCAAAGTAGATCTATACAGCCCTGAAGGAGAAAGGGATCAAGATCGTAAAGTTATCTGTTTTGTTGATGTTGCTAACCTTAACATAAAGGATAGAAACAGACGTAAAAGAAGTGCCGCTGACCCTTGCCTTGACCTACGTAATCTTGAAGAAAAAGAAGTCATTGTAATTAAGGACAACGAACGCAGTCAGCACAGCAATACCGAAGGAGCGGTCTGCCTTTTCAAACAAGGTTCCTCTGAAGAAATTAACGTTGTGAGCTGGCTCAGCAACGATCTTCAGAAATACGCACTTGGATTTCAGCATGCACTAAGGCCCTCAGGCCCTCGTAAATCAGCTTACGAATCGCCTGCAATTGACAAGATGTCCCAGGGAAGTGACACATCGTTCAGAGGCTCTTGTAGCCAGAAAGGAGATGACCTTTCATATTATGTTAACAAGCTTTGTTCCTTAGTAGTTCAAATGGCACACAAAGAAATGAAGGATAAACTTGAAGGCAGTGGAAGATGCATTCGTCAATCAATTAGAGGATCTAACGGCAAGAATGGAGATGACTATGGCAAGCTGTCTCCCAAACCATCCCATGATGACCCCAGAAAGACTTCACTCTTTTATGGTGAGATGTCTAATCAGAGTAAGCAAAATGGCTACAATCAGGGAGCAGACAGACAAATGTTGGAAAGAAAACAGTCAGCACAAGATGATGGTTCTTGTAGCAAAGGACTGATGGTGTATGCAAACCAGGTAGCTTCAGATATGATGTTCTCATTCATGAAAACAATGAAAGTCCAAAAGGGAAAGCATCCTCCACCAGCTTGTGTGGTATTAAAGAAGGTTCTCCTCAAACACACCAGAGATGTCATATCTGACTTAATTGATTCCACCATGAAAAATTTACA